AGGGAGAGAGATAGAGAGTTAGAAACATCGATGAGAGAGATACATCAATCAGCTGCCTCCTGCACACTCCCTGCTGGGGATGTGCCCACAACCAAGGTACATGCCCTTGACCGGTATCGAACCTGGGACCCTTCAGTCCGCAGGCTGACGCTCTATCCACTGAGCCAAACCGGTTACGGCCAAAAGTATATTTCTTGTTGAAAATGTGTCAACAATACAATTACCAAAGAAAGAAGTAGTATATTATTTTTAAGTTTTTGTAATTGAAAACAAAATTTCAATAGCAAATCAGATGCCATATTATTATATACTAGAGGCCTGGTGCATGAAATTCATGCACGGGGGAGGGGGTAATCCCTTAGCCCGGCCTACACCCTCTCCAATCTGGGACGTTCCTCTCGCAATGCGGGACCGCCAGCTCCTAACCGCTCACCTGCCTGCCTGCCTGATTGCCCCTAACCACTCTGCTTGCTGGCCTGATCGCCCCTTAACTGCCCCCCTGCCAGCCTGGCCGCCCCCTAACTGCTCCCCTACTGGCCTGATTGCCCCTAACCACCTCTGCCTCGGCCCCTGCCACTGTGGCTTTGTTCAGAAGGACTTCTGGAAGATGTCTAATTAGCATGTTACTTTTATTAGTATAGAGGCCCAGTGCATGAAATTCGTGCACTTGTGTGTGGGGGGGGCGGGGGCGGTCCTCAGCCCGGCCTGTGCCCTCTTGCAATCCAGGAGCCATCAGGGGATGTCCGACTGATGGCTTAGGCCCATGCGGGAGTGGGCCTAAGCCATCAGTTGGACATATTTAGCACTGCAGTGGAGGCGAGCTTCTGGCTGAGCAGCGCTCACCCTGTGGGGAGCACACTGACCATCAGGGGGAAGCTCCTGTGTTGAGCTTCTGCCCCCTGGTGGTCAGTCCGCATCATAGCAACCAGTCATTCTGTCGTTTGGTCAATTTGCATATTAGCCTTTTATTATATAAGATTTCAAAAAACATAAGAAAGCCATAACATTTGTTACTTGGTAGAATACAGGCTTTTTTTCTTCTTTCCTTAAGGATCAAGGCCAGTGTAGATAAATTCATTTGAAGGTAATACTAGTATCTTATCTTCTTCTTACACTTTCGGAACTTTTGACCATATTCACTTTCTCTAATGTTTTCTGTGCTTCTATCACTAGTTTGTTTTTGCCTCTTTCATTTATTAATTTGGTAAAGGACAGGGTCATGTGGTTGTTGATGAGTCCATTCATAAGGGCTGGGTCCAGCCTCTAGATTTGGAACATGGTTTAGTGAAGGAGGCACAGCTGTGTTCTTAGGAAGTAATGCTGTCATCTCACAGTAAGGAAGCTACAGTGCTGGATTACATGCATGACACTGCATCTTCTGAAAGAAGAACTGCATGGGAAAGAAAGAACTGCCCATGGCTTCTTCATTTCTGTAGCTGTGTGAATTGATCTTAACACAGCTCTCAAAACTCTGGTTAGCTGGTTCAGAAGAGTGAGAACTCCTAAATCGATACTGCACATTAATTGGTCTTTCATATAAACGAATTCCATTCAGCAAAGCTATGGCATAAGACACCGATTCTGGGTGTTTAAAGCAGCCAAATCCAAAAGACTTCAGCTTTCCTTCTCTGTCTTTTCATATAGTCACTCTGGTTAATGCCCCAGCCTATAAAAAACTGAAGGAACAGCTTGTAAAGGATCTCTTCCCACACTTGGGCCTCTAAATTCCCCACAAACACCCTCCTGTCAGCCTCCTCCTGAGCAGGGAACATCCCCCCGTTCGTGGTGGAGGACTAAGGAGGAGATGCCAACACACCGCCCTCTTTCCTGGCCAGCTTTTGAAGGAAAACAAATGTATGTACAACATTTAGCAAAGCTAACACCTACTAAGGACTCAAAGTGCTAGTAAAACATTTACAGTAGGCAAAAAGAAAAGAGAACCAAGATATAAATTCAGACCTCTACCTCACAACAGATGCTCTTTCCATGGTTCATGGTTTTCCCTTCAGAACTGATTTCTGTGATTCCATCTATGATGTCTGGGGCCACAACCTTACCTCTAAGAGCACACCTTCCTCTCCAAACCCTACTACAAGCAGCTGGCAATAGTATAGAGGCATTCAGCTGGGAAGACACAGAGGACACCTCATTTTATTGCGCTTTGCTTTATTGAGCTTCACAGATGCCACGTTTCTTACAAATTGAAGGCAAGACCCTCCACGAGCAAAAAGATTACAACTCACTTTATTGTGAGTTATGGTGCTCTGGAACAAGATCTCAGGGGTATGGCTATACTCACTCCAAGGCTGAGATCATATGTTTGAGAGGTGCTAAGAAGCCCCAATCTGACAAGGGCAAATTTTTCCTAATTTCAAATGTCTCTCTCACTTCCAAATCTGACTTCATCAAGTTCTTTTCCATATTAGACCACCCAGTATGTTTATTTTTTAACCAGATGGATGCACTGGGATTCAGCCAGATTCCCTACTTCCTAAGAGAAGGAAAACCTTGGGTGAAAGCAAAAAGGGAACAAGGCATAGGGCCACAGATAACCTACTAGGCAAGGGCTCTCCACCATAGCTCCTCCACTTGGCTTTTTCTGCTCCTAGAAAGTTAAGAGGAAAACACAGATCATATTTTGGTTGCCTGTTGAATCTCAAACTTGCTGTATGACCTTGGGCAGGAGTGTAGAATCTGAGGAACCTTCCAAATATGACTTTCTGTTACACCCTCCTCCCATGAAAACACAAATTTTTTTTTTAAATATATTTTTATTGATTAAGATATTACATATGTGTCCTTGTCCCCACGTTACCCTCTACCCGCCCCCCGCTCATGCCCTCCCCCCCTCCCCCCCCCCCCCCCCGTTGTCCGTGTCCATTGGTTAGGCCTATATGCCTGCATGTAAGTCCTTTGGTTGATCTTTCCCCCTTACTCCCACCCTCCCCTACCCTCCCTCCAAAGCCCGACAGTCCAATCAATGCCTCTCCGTCTCTGGATCAGTCCTTGTTCATCAGTTTATGTTGTTCATTATATTCCACAAATGAGTGAGATCCTGTGGTATTTATCCGCTCTCCAGTTCCATCCATGCTGTGGCAAATGGTAAGAGTTCCTTTTTCTTCTTCCTCTTCTTAAAGAATACCTTTCAGCATTTCATATAATGCTGGTTTGGTGGTGATGAACTCCTTTAGCTTTTTCTTATCCGTGAAGCTCTTTCTCTGACCTTCTATTCTGAATGATAGCTTTGCTGGATAAAGTAATCTTGGTTGCAGGTTCATGCTATTCATCACTTTGAATATTTCTTGCCACTCCCTTCTGGCCTGCATGGTTTCTGTTGAGAAATCAGCTGACAGTCGTATGGGTACTCCCTTGTAGGTAACTGACTGTCTTTCTCTTGCTGCTTTTAAGATTCTCTTTGTCTTTTGCTCTTGGCATTTTAATTATGATGTGTCTTGGTGTGGTCCTCTTTGGATTCCTTTTGTTTGGGGTTCTCTGTGCTTCCTGGACTTGGAAGTCTATTTCTTTCACCAGGTGGGGGAAGTTTTCTGTCATTATTTCTTCAAATAGGTTTTCAATATCTTGCCCTCTCTCTTCTTCTGGTACCCCTATAATTCTGATGTTGGTACGCTTGAAATTGTCCCAGAGGCTCCTTACACTATCTTCATATTTTTGGAATCTCTTTTCTTTTTTCTTTTTCAGTTGGGTATTTTTTGTTTCTTTGTATTTCAAATCTTTGACTTGATTTTTGGGATCCTCTTGTGTGCTGTTGGATCTCCGTAGATTATTCTTTATTTCAGTCAGTGTATGCTTAATTTCTAGTTGGTCCTTTTTCATGTCCTCCATGGTCTCACTATATTTATTGAGGGACTCATTAAATTTATCGGCGGTTTCCATAAAATTCTTGAAAAACCTTATAAACATGGCCTTGAACTCTATATCCAGTCGTTTGCTTTCCTCCCTTTCTGCCATTTGTGACCTGTTTCTTTGTCTCCGCATTTTGGCTGCTTCCCTGTGTTGATAGAGTGGCTTTGTGTGCTAGGTGTCCTGTAGGGCCCAGTGGCTCAGCCTCCCCAGTTACCTGAGGTGGACACTCTTGGTGCACCCCCTCGTGGGCTTTGTGCACAGTCTTGTTGTAGCTATGCCTTGGTTGTTGTAGGATCACTGGGAGGAATTGACCTCCAGGGCAATTGGCAGCGAGAATCAGCTGTGTCTGCAGTGGGAGAACTTCTGTGCTGGAGACACCCTTCTGGGGCAAGACTTGCTTCAGTGGGGCTTTGGTGCTCACTGAGACTGCACCCTGAGTGTGTCCCTTATGGATCTGAGGAGTTGTGATCTGGATGGTTCCCCTCTGACCACTGGGTACAGTGGCTCTTCGATCTAAGGAGGTGCTAATTTAGCCTCTGCCTGAGGCTACCCAGCAGGAACTACGAAGAGAACTGCAGATTCCCCTTCCTTTTTTTTGGAGTTTGGAAGTGCCCTGATGATGCTCAGCTGTGTAGGAATGCGAGCCGCTGTGGGGCCTTGGGCCTTCTCTTGGAAGCTCTGGGTCTATCTGGCCCGGCTGCGGTTAGGTAATTACAGGTTGCAAATGGCCGGGGCATTCATATGCAAAAGCCTCTGCCGAAGCCTGGGCGGGGCGGGGTCTCAAGGAATCAAAGGGCGGAGAAAGCAGCTATGGCGGAGCCTCAGCCCTGCCCTAAGGAGTCGCGAGTCCCAGTGTCCCGGCAATGGCTGCACGCACCTCTGAGGGAAAGCCACTCTCAAGCTCGCCCGCTGCCAGACAGTCCAGTATCTCCCCGTATGAGTCCTGGGTCCCCAGAGACTTCCCGGAACCGGATTCCAGAGCCGTCGGGAGCTTGTGTCTCCCTCCGGATTCAAAAAGACAGCCGCGTCCTCAGGTGCCAGACCCTTTCCCCCCCGTACCTCTGCACTCCACCTCCGCAGCTCCTCCCGCTCGCAGTGTGCTTTTCTTTCCTTCTAGTTGTAGAATTTACACTCAGCCAGCCCTCCTGTAGTTCTGGATGATGTCCACCTTGTGTTTTTGATGCATTTATCGATTGTTGTGGGAAGCAGCAATTTCCCGGTGTTTATCTATGCCGCCATCTTAGTTTCTCCGAAAACACAAATTTAATGAATTTCAGAGTTAAGGTCAGAGCTTCACATAATGACAAAGAATTAATTCTTTTGGGGGGTTGGGAGATAAAATGATCTCTGCAGATGATATGATCATAGATGTAGAAAATTCTAAAGAACACACACACACCTGTTAAATTAATAAATGAATTCAGCAAAGTTGCAGGATACAAACTCAGTTAAACAATAACAGTGAACAGTACAAAATGGAAATTAAGACAATAATTTTATTTAAAATAGCATTAGCCCGGCCAGTTTGGCTCAGTGGATTGAACATTGTCCCATACATCAAGGGGTCACCAGTACGACTCCCAGCCAGGGCACATGCCCATGTTGCGGGCTCGATCACCAGTAGGGGGCATGCAGGAGACAGCTGATAGATGTTTCTATCTCTCCCTCTTCCTGTCTCTCAAAAAAATCAATAAAAACATTAAAATAAATAAATAAATAAATAGTTCTAGCTGGTTTTTCTCAGTGTTTAAGAATGTTGGCCCACAGACTAAAGGGTCACGAGTTCTATTCTGGTCAACGGCATGTACCTCAGTGACAGGCTCCATCCCCAGTCCAGGGTCAGGCCAGGGTAGGTGTGGGAAGCAATCAATTAATGTGTCTCTTTCACATCAATGCTTCTCTCTCTGTATCTCCCCTTCTCTTCCACTCTCTCTAAAAATCAATGGAAAAAATATCCTTGGGTGAAGAGTAACAACAAAATAAAATAGCATCAAAAAGAAAAAAATACTTAAGAATAAACTTTACCAAGGAGGTGAAAGTTATATATACTGAAAACTACAAAACATCACTGAACAAAACTGAAGAAGATACAAATAAATGGAAAAACATCTTGCTTTCACATATTGGAAGACTTGATATTGCTAAGATGTCAATACTACCCAAAGCAATCTATTGGTTTATTTCAATCTCTATCAAAATCCCAGTGACATTTTTTTTTTTTACAGAAATAGAAGAACTCATCCTAAAATTCATATGAAATCTTAAGTGACCCCCAGTAACCAAAACATTTTGGAAAAGAAGAATAATGTTACAGGACTCACACTTTCTGATTTCAAAACACACTACAAAGCTATGTTAATCAAAACCGTGTCGTACTGGCAAAAAGACAAATACACCAGTGGAACAGAATAGACAGCCCTGAAATGAACCCTCACACATATTAGTATGGTCAAATTCAAACAGCACACAAATCACCTGACCAGCCTAACACTGGTTCTGCTCCCTTAAAGCAGATCCATGATTAATGCAATCCTTGAGTTAGTTTACAGAGAGCACTGCACACATGCCACCTCTATCCTCAACCTGCACCCAGAACCAAAGGATAGGGACATGACAGGAACTTGAACACTGGAACCCTTACCATAAGCGGCAAAGTTCCAAGGTTCTAATTAATTAGAACTTGCTCCTAATCCCTTAAAAACCTTCCCTGAACCCTGGATCTGAGAGACTGATTTGAGCCTTGTCTGGCTGCCTGACAAATTTCCTTCTTTTTGTGAAAAACCTGTTGCCTCAGATTTTGGCTTCTCTGGGTGCCACAGGCAAGGGACCCACTGACTTTGTTCAGTATCAAAATGATTTTCAACAAGGGTGTCAAAACCACTTAATGGGGAAAGGAAAGTCTTTTTAACAAATGGTGGTGGGAAAACTGGATATCCATCTATAAAAGAATGAAATTGGACCCTGACCTAACACCTTATTAAAAAATTAATTCTGAAAGGGATTAGTTGTCCTAAGAAGCACAAATTGCTAGTTATAAAAATAGTCAAGGGGATGTAAAGTACAGCATAGGGAATATAGTCAATAATATTGCAATAACTATGTATGGTGCCAGATGGGCACTAGATTTATCAGGATGATCACTTCATAAAGAATATAAGTATCTAGGCATTATGTTGTACATTTGAAATGAATATAATATTGTATGTCAACTACAACTGAAAATAAATTTTAAAAATTAACTCAAAATGGATCAAAGACCTAAACATAAGAGCTAAAACTAAAACTCTGAGAAAAATATAGGCGAAAAGCTTGATGACACTGGATATAGCAATGATTTCTTGTACATGACACCAAAAGCACAGGCAACAATAACAAATTATACAAACTGGACTTCATCAAAATTAAAAGCTTTGTTATATACAAAGACAATATCAACAGAGTAAAAAGGCAACCCACAGAATGAGAGAAAATATTTGCCAATTACATAGATGATAAGGGATTAAATACCCAGAATACATACAGAACTCCTAAAACTCAACAGCAAAAAAACAAATGACCAGACTCAAAAGTGGGCAAAAGTCTGGAACAAATATTTCTCCAAAGATATACAAACAGGCAATAAGCACATGAAAAGATGGTCAACATCACTAATCAGTAAGGAAATAAAAATTAAAATCACAATGAGATACCACTTCACAGCATTTGCTTTAAAAATAGAGAAAACAAGTGTTGGCAAGAGTGTGGAGAAACTGGAACTCTTGTGCACTGTTGGTAGTAATTTAAATGGTGCAGCTGCTATGGAAAACAGTATGGAGCCCTAGCCGTTTTGGCTCAGTGGTTAGAGTATCTGCCTGTGGACTGAAGGGCCGTGGGTTTGATTCTGGTCAAGGGCACATACCTGGATGCACACTTGGTCCCCACCCCTTTTGGGGCACTTGTGAGAGGCAACAAATGGATGTGTGTCTCTCACATCGATGTTTCTCTTTGTCTCTCCTCCTCCCTTCCATTCTCTAAAAAAAAAAAAAAAATCATTGGAGTTAACAGTTTAGAGGGTATAGAGTTTCACTTTTGCAAGATGAAAGGTTCTGAAAATGGATGGTGGGTATGGCTGCAAAACAAAGTGAACAGACTTCATTGTGCCACTGAACTATATATTGAAAAGTGGTAAATTTTGTTATGTATATTTTACAGCAACTTAAACAATTTTTAAGTAAAAAAAATTAATTCCATTTTATTCCAGTTTTCTCCATCTTCAGTGCCCCACTAAATCTCACCTGAATAACTTTCACAGTCCTTAGTCTCACTCTGATCCAGTCCTCCAAACAGGAGCCAGAGTGATCTTGGTTAAGCTGCAAACCAGAAAAGTGAAGTCCTTTTGGTGGCCTCCTCCTCCCTTTTGGGATAAAAACAAATTCCTCAACATGACCCTCCCTTTTCTTCCTCATTTGTGGCTTTATTCCTTACCATTAACCCTCATGGTTTTATCTTCTGAAATGTTCTCTCCTCCTCCCCCATCTTCCCCTTCATAACTCCTACTCTTCCTTCCGAGCTGTCTTCCTTAACGCCCACTACAAAACAGACCTGTACCATCAAACCCAGCAGACTGAAAACTTACCTTCTTTGTATCTGACCACGGGCTAGCCTTCCAATATTCTCTGAGAGGGGTCAGTTTGCCTCCGGTGCTGCAGACCACCAGGGAGCCTGTAAAAGAAGTTTTATACCGATGGTGCACTTTCTAACCGGAGTGAGCTTGTTAGGCCTCGCCATAGTTTGCATATGGGAGGGAAAGGGGTTCAGAAAAGAGGTAGGGCCAAAAAGAACAAGATCCATGGGAAAGTTAGGGTAAAGGGGTACACCCAGGTCTGGTCCAGACAGAGTAATGTCTAATAGCGCCCCTGGGGTCCAGCCCCACGCAACCTCCTCAACAGGATCTTGGGGTTAGACTGCGGTGGGAAACCCCAGCTGCGGAATTCTGGAAAAGCTCAGCAGGAGCCTCTCTTGCTCACCTAAGGTGGAGAACTGCAGTGAATGTTAACATGTATGCAAAGGCTGTTTTGACCTTATTATTTTTTTTAATATATATTTTATTGATTTTTTACAGAGAGTTAGGGAGAGGGATAGAGAGCTAGAAACATCGATGAGAGAGAAACATCGATCAGCTGCCTCCTGCACACGCCCCACTGGGGATGTACCCGCAACCAAGATACATGCCCTTGACTGGAATCGAACCTGGGGCCCTTGAGTCCGCAGGCCGACGCTCCATCCACTGAGCCAAACCGGTGACGTTAGGGCCTTACTGTTATTCTTTAAAACTTAAAGCTTAGGGTTAAAAGTACAAATTTTAAAGTCAGACAAACCCGGGTACTAGTTGCACGATTCTGGGCAACCTGCTTTGCCGCCATGAGTCCCCTGCACACAGCGGTGTGCCTCGGTCTCGCCTGACTGGGTAGCGGGGCGCTAAATGCGGGCTACAGGCCCGCCCCCCGAATTTCTGAGGAAGTCCGAGAATTTACATCTGTAACCCACTTTCAAGGCCATGTGGCCGCTGCCGGTCCAGAAACACGCTTTATGGACCACTGACCTGGCACATAGTGAGGACACGGCAGATATTCTGATGCCTCAACAAGTACTTTCTCCACTTCAACCCCGTGAGGCGTCCTCAGCTGGTTCCAACTTGCTCCGCAGCCTTAGAGAATCATTTCTCCTCTTTGGAACTCGGGGCTCACTTGCCAAAAGAGGGTGCTGGGCAAGGTGAGACACTAAGTTATTACCGACAAGAGTTGGCATCCTGAACAAGGTGCTACGGAACATACAGACTTAAGGAGAAAACGAGCAGGGGCTAAGTAATGAGAGGCAGCGTGAGGCTCCGGGGAGCAAAGTCTGGGCTAGAAAGGACGCCTCCGGAAAGGCAGGGTCGTGTTCTACCCCGCTGCTCGAATGGACGAGCTGCGGCGAACTGGGCGACGCTCCAGTCCAACCTCCGCTTTCCCTGCAAACGCCATCTCCAGTCTCCACAGCGCCGCCTCGCGCTCGTGTCGCGCCCCTTCCAAGACTGTCCCTTCCGTCACTTCCGTCATGCGTAGAGCTAGCTTGCCGTCACTTCCGTCATGCGTAGAGTGCTTGCGCTGAGACCACGGGTACTTTTTTCACTCGGACGGCTGCGCGGCCGCCGATTGGCTCCGTGGGCACGTCGCCGGGAGGACGCACGGCGTTGCTCCTCCCTCCGCGGCACCTGGTCTCGGCCGAGTGAGCTGAGCCGACTGCTTGGCCAAGAACAGGCAGCTGCAACGCGCCCCTGAGCCAGACTGCGGAGCCTCCACTGCTTCCCCGAACGCTGTGACCCGCGACCCCAGGCCCCGCCTCCTTTTGGCTCGGCCCCCGCGCCCCAGGCCCGGTCCGGGGGGCGCGACGATAGGATGAGCGGCGGGAGGCGGAAGGAGGAGCCGCCTCAGCCGCAGCTGGCCAACGGGGCCCTCAGAGTCTCTGTGTGGAGCAAGGTGCTGCGAAGCGACGCGGCCTGGGAGGACAAGGTGAGGAGGGTCTGGTGAGGGCGCAGGTTTGAGGAGCCGGCGGCACTTGGCGACGGATGGGCAGGCCTGAGTTTGCCCCCGACGCACCGCCGATCGTCTGGGGGTGGTGGGGCGGGTGGCCAAAGGGTGGCGAACTCGGCGGGCCCGGCCTGGAGAGAGCCAGGGGCTCCCCGCGGAGTAGTCTGACGGTCAAGCCGCCCGGGTCACTCGAGAAGCCGCGTGGAGGGGGCAGCGGAGGTGTCCCTCGCGGACAGGGCGTGTGCCTGGACGGCGAGATGGAGCTGAATCCGATTTGACCTTCGCCTTTCACTCCTAGTAGGACCTTAAGGGACTTACCGTCTCCGAATTAACTACTTAACGTAGTCGTTAGCGCGAAAAGTAGCGGGACAGACATCCACTGGGTACTGCCAGGGGCTCGCCATGTGTTCGCAGAAGAGCTCCGAGCTGGGGTACAATCAGTGAGAGGGGCGTGAACGAGGTAGCACATAGCGAGGCTCCCCAAAGATGAGTTGCCGCTGCTTGGAAAACCGAATACCTACGTGTGAGAGTTGGGGAGACCGAGACCGCCTTGCAGGGGAGGGAGGAGGAGAGAGAGAGAAAGAGAAAACATGTATGTGAGGAATGGCTGGGGCTTCCGGACTTCCTTCTCCTTACTGGTCACACACATTCAGATCCGAGTTCGGGCACTGCCCACCCATGATCTGGAAGGGACCGTTACAAACAGCTTGATTCCCGCTGACTTGAAGACACTGTTATATCTGGGGGCCGGGGGTGACTGGTGAATTAGGTTTTCCTTCCTGGAGTTCCGGTAAGAAGGGATGGGAGGCACTTCCTGGAGGTGCCCCAGCCCTGCCAGCTCCCGTGAAACCTCTCTGATCTGCTGTGTCATTTCTCTCTCCTTCCGTAAGGACTGGTTCTGCAATCTAGGGCAGGTTGGAAACCCGAGTCTTCCCTGTCCTTGTAGGTAAAACAGGTCTGCTGGCACCTGCCTCCAACACTTTCCTTTCTATCCTTTCTATCCTCTGTGACCTATTCAGAACCCGGTGTGCGGGAAGATAGTGCTGCCTAGGGTGACTGTCGGCCCTTCTTCCCGGGGCTGGTGTGTCTAGGTCTCCTCAGATGAGATAAGCTTATCAGTGTCCAGGATCACAGCTACTAGCACAGCCATTTCATCTTTGCAGCTTCTCAAAAAAGGTCAATGGATTTTTCTAAAATTCTTATTTAGAGCACAACCCTTAGAAGTCATCACTCAAGGCAAGCATTGTTTTGTGTTTGTGTGTGTGTGTGTATGTTTACCACCGTTTAGTACAAGAGGAGGTGGAGATGCGAGAGCCTAATACTCTTGCTTTTGGGGGACAGTTCCCTGGAAGATATGTTGGTAGGAAACTTTTCTGTTCCTCACCTATTACAGGAGGTTCTACTGTGGCACCCACTCCAGATAATGCATGCAATTTCTCTTTTTTCTACAGGATGAGTTTTTAGATGTGATCTACTGGTTCCGACAGATTATCGCTGTGGTTCTAGGTGTCATTTGGGGAGTGTTACCATTGCGAGGTTTCTTGGGAATAGCAGGGTAAGTCTTGGGTATCTTGCAGTTTCGTGATAGCATTTCTTTTTCAAATAGAGACTTTATTTTCATTTTATGGAAAAGGCTATTACTACATTGGAGGGTTTTTTAAATTATTATTTTAAGTGACTGTGTGTGTGTGTGTGTGTGTGTGTGTGTGTAATGATTAAAGCAAAAAGTTGGCCCCAGGATGGCATTCCTGGGTCTGGTGTAGCTCTCCTCAGTTCATCAAGCCCAGGAGCATCTTAGGTCAGGTATGTTACCTTCCTGAAGGCTGGGCTAGTCCATTCATTCATGGGTCCAAAGTGATCTCATGCAAGGGGATACCACATGCCTGTTGGTGGCAGGCATCATCTAGTGCAGGGGTGGGCAAACTTTTTGACTCAAGGGCCACAATGGGTTCTTAAACTGGACCGGAGGGCCGGAACAAAAGCATGGATGGAGTGTTTGTGTGAACTAATATAAATTCAAAGTAAACATCATTACATAAAAGGGTACGGTCTTTTTTTTTTTAGTTTTATTCATTTCAAACCGGCCGGATCCGGCCCACGGGCCGTAGTTTGCCCACGGCTGATCTAGTTCTAGCATGACCTTTGTATGGAAGTTTGGAAGGTGGAAGAGCTTCTATACTAGAGGACCACTCCCTTGTGCCTGGCGCTATGCTGGATATACTGAATCTTGGCTTTTTCAGAAGTTGTTTGAGGTCCTTACATTTTAGAGGCAGTGAAAAAGTGGAAGGTTTAGCCTTCCGTCTTCTACTATGCTTCTGTGGCCAGTGGAAACAATTGACACTAGCCCCTGGGTGTGGCTCTGCTTTTTTTTTTTTTTTAATCTGTTTTTATTGATTTCAGGGAGGAAGGGAGAGGGAGAGAGATTAAAAAAAGAAAAAAGAGCCGAAACCGATTTGGCTCAGTGGATAGAGCGTCGGCCTGCGGACTGAAAGGTCCCAGGTTCGATTCCGGTCAAGGGCATGTACCTGGGTTGCGGGCACATCCCCAGTAGGAGATGTGCAGGAGGTAGCTGATCGATGTTTCTAACTCTCTATCTCTCTCCCTTCCTCTCTGTAAAAAATCAATAAAATATATTAAAAAAAAGAAAAGAAAAAAGAAAAAAACATCAGTGATGAGAGAGAATCATTGATGGGCTGCTTCCTGCACGCTCACCATTGGGGATCGGGCCTGCAACCCAGGCATGTGCCCTAACTGGGAATCGAACTGGTGACCTCTTGGCTCAACCACTGAGCCACACTGGCCAGGCTAAGAAGATTTTTTATTTATGATACTGAGCAAAGCATTTGTACAAGGAAATCAGTAAGAGTTTAATCTCTGCCTGACTTTGACGGAGTGCACACTTCATGAGGGCTGATTGGGGGTTATGAGACATAGGACCTAGTGGTTATAGAGGTTTTCCCAGGTTGGAGGTGGTTATAGATGATATTTTTAGAATGTTGGTCACCCGTTTAAGCTTTCTATGAGAGAAAAGGCAGATAGGAGAAAAATAGCAGAGAAGGGGGGAAGGCAATCTAAAAGCTAGAGGGAATTTCTCATCTTTCCACCGCCACTTGCTAAGAGGTTCAGAGTCCCTTGTACCTATTATGTCTTGTAGGATTCCTAAAGGATTTCTCTGAAGTCACCAATCTGGAATAATTAACTAGCACCAGAGCTAGTCTGATATACCTTGTGGCAGAAGGATTAAGCTAGCCAAACAGACCTTTCTTTGTTTTTTATTTTTAACTTTATAGAAAGTTCTGAATTCAAGTTCTAGCTTTGCCACTTTCAGGCTACATTAATTTTGGGCTCAGCTGTATGAGATTCAATTTCCTAATTGTTAAAATGGGGGCAATAAGCCCTGGCCAGTGTAACTCAGTGGTTGGGTGTTAATCTATGAACCAGGAGGTCACAGTTAGATTCCCAGTCAGGCCACATGCCCAGGTTGTGAGCTCCATCTCCAGTAGGGGTGTGCAGGAGGCAGCCAACTGATCAGTGATTCTCTCATCATTGATGTTTCTCTCTCTCCCTTCCTTTCTGAAATCAATAAAAATATGTTTTTTAAAAACGGGGCAATAAAAATGCCTGCCTTATAAGATGTATAAATTAAATGAAATAATGTAAGTAAATTGCTGAATGTCGTGCTGAGTACCTCAAAGGCACTCTATAAATGGTTCATTGCAATTATTATATGATTAGCTTTACAAAGAATGGTTAAATACGGTTTTCTGGAGTATAGTCCCACACTGTCCTGCCAGAGCCAAAACTTGAATTCTTTCTCTCCTTTGGTTGGCACCTTTTCCCCTGCTCTTGGAAAGGACCCAGGGACATTGATTTTTCTACTCACATCTCCTCTCCTCCATCTGTCTGACCCAGCTGCCTGCAGTTCAGGGCAGACTTGCTCTGGCGCTCAGTTCTGGTGACTCTCCTCCCACTTCTGCCTTAGCTGCTCTCTTTTTTGACCCCAGCTTGTCTTCTCATTTCTGGCGGGGTCACCAGTTAGGGCCCATTAAGGTAAAATAATTTCCTCAGCTCTCAATTATGATTTGCCTGAGAACTGAGTGATGGTTCTGCTGTGTCTGCTGAGGTTTTGCATGATCAGAGATGGGCCCTGTTCATCCTTTCCTGTCTCATAGAGCTTGGAGCATATTAATGTGCTTATTAGTGCTTATTAAATTTCTTTTAACAAGCATTCCCATTGACCATTGAAAGCAGGGCCATACATTACTGTTGTCATGTAGCCTTCAATCCCTGACGTCATGATATTTGTTAGAGCCATTATTTTGTTAAATTTAAATTTATTTATTTTAGAGAGAAGGAGAAGGAGAAAAACATTGATTTGTTGTTCTGTGTATTGATACATTCATTGCTTGGTTCTTGTATGAGCCCTGACCAGAGATAAGCCACAACCTTGGCTTATCAGGATGATACTCTGACCAATTGAGCTACCTGGCCA